CCCCAAAACCCCAAAACCCCAAAACCCCGATACTCTAATTGAACTATATCTAGAACTAATTTACTAAATAAATGAATTAGGATAATAAATTAATAAAACTTTGCTAAAAAATAAAATGAATTTCGCCTAGATAGAAAAGCAGATGAAGAAAATTAGGGATTTAGAATAGCATATTTCCTATTACTATAACCCAAGAGCGACTTGCATTAAAGGAAATTCCAAGCATCAGTATATCAAAGAGATAATGAAGGACTTGAAATTTGACATAGATGTATATGAGTAGAATCCTTTTAAGAAATATGGTAATTATTGCAAACAGTATCCTCAATTTAAACCATTATGTAGTCAATGAAACCCTTAAGAAGGAAAATCAAAACAATAATCTGATCAAGCAAAATATCAAAGACCTGGTAGAGTAGACTAAAGCTGAGATTTTTTCTAAAACTTTCAAAAATGTGCAGCCTGATATTGGGATGGAATAAGAGTAGGCTAAAAAGGACAAGAGATTTTATTCCTTAACGAAAAATATTGACAGAAACCTGATTGATTCACACAACATAGAATCCAAGATCAATCTTATGAACTCAAGAAATCATGACCTTTCAGGTTCATAAACTTTAGGTGAGTAAGGGCATTAAGATTAAAGCCTTAGCAAAGAAGGCCTAAGAGTTAGTTAGTCTGAGCGAAACTTATAAAGATACGAAGATAAGATCCATGAGATGGATTAAAAGAGAAGGAATGAGGAACAGAGATTTAAGAAGTGGCTTGGCCAGTAGCAAAATTAAGTTAAGATTTAGAATCAATCTGCTCTTCAATCAGTACTTAAAAGTGGGGAGTTTAGTGGATTTTAAATACCAATCATAAGACCGCAACAGTCTACTGAGGAGTCTATTGATATTTCTAAAAAACTTTAATAGCAATAAAGTCCTAATCTTACTCAAACAACTAGCTAGTTCAAAGAAAAGTCCCCAAGATCTACTGTCACAGTAGAAGATGACTTTATTTACAAAATTAAGAGTAAGTTATATCTAGACCATATTTATCAATGATATATAGTTCCATCGCAAATAAGATAATACTACAGTTTTCTTCTGTAAGAGCAAAGTCATAGAAATAACAAGAAGCAAATTTACCATGCTCACATTATTGATCTTTCCTCTATAGTTGAGGGGTAGACTATACCTTCGATACAATACAATTTTGTGCCAATGGATGAAGAAGGATTTCTAATGTTAAATAATGGTAAGCTGACCTCATAAAAGATCTATGATAAAGATGTAAGAATAAATAGAATTTTATTAGCCATATTAGGTAATGAAAAATTTAAATCCTAGAGAAGCTTTCACATGGCTTAATGTTAATGGAGGATACAGTCCTAGCTCACTAAATAATCATACTCTAAAAGTTGAAGTGTATAATGCATTGAATTAAGAAAAACTATTATCAAGATATATTCATCTTTAAGAGTATAATCATGCTAATCTTCCAAAAGTAATTCTTGTTTAGTCCTGATCATCACGATATAGATATGCTTGGAAATAATGCTAAGTGAAGAAATTAAGTTTGTATTTCCTAAAGATGGTACAAACTCAGAAGAAAAGCCCAAGTCAAACTCATCATAGCTGAGAAGCATTGTTTATCACAAAAAGGCTATATCAATGTCTAAAGTGCCAACTTAGCAATATACGAACTATAATGTCATCTAGAGCAACTTCTTTAAAGCCTATAAAGAGCTTCTCTAAGGACCATAGAGATATAACACTGAAAATCTAATTCAAATATTGAACTCTGATTACTCAATTTCAATTGAAAACATAAACTCATTCTTTGATTAGTAAGACATTTTATTGTTTAAACCTAATTACATAGAAATGAAGTTCTAGTTGAATTCAGAAATGCAATGGTGCAGATTAGAGGATTTTAACAAAATAGTATGATTGAGGAGTAATACAGCATGGACTAGATTGACCATATGCCTCCTTACTTGCAAGGAAAAGGTGTTATTAAGTCTTAATCCCATTAATCATTATATCAAAATTACTAAAACTACCAATAAGAAGAGACTGAAAACTATAATAAGATTGCAAAGAAAAAGATAATGACGATTGAGGAGTATTGGCTTAAATTTCAGCAAAGACATGGCATAGATTAAAAGAGCAATATCCTCACCTAAGATTAATACTTCTTTTTAGATGGCTAAAGAGTATTTCAACAATTCGATAGAAATAAGATGATGACATAGAGTTATTAGAATTTTTAAATTCCAGGGCATTAGCTTAGAAATATTGAGGATAAAAGCTTTATGAAATCCAATTTCATTATGAAAGGTCTAAGTCATCCTACTTTTCCATAGGATAAGTTAGAACAAGATAGAAAAATCTACCAGAATATTAGACACGAGGCATAGGATTTCAATAAGACTCATACTCTAGAGTTTAAAAATTCAGTTCCAGGCATTAAAAGTCCTATTAAAATACAAACAGCTACAAGGAATCTGAATAATCAAACTGGATCAATTATAGACTACACTTAATCCTTCAAAGGAATGCACATGAGTCCTTAGAGTATCACATCGAATGCTGAGCTGTCAATTATGAGTGTAGGATTGACTTAAAATATCTATGCTCACTAAAGAGAAATTTAAGAAAAAATGCAGTAACAGCTATAATTTTAGCAACCTTAAGAGCCCAAATAAATTTAAAAGAAGAAAAATAAAGTACTCACCACAGTGTAATCTAGCCAAAATATAAAGGTAACGGATCCATCTCAATATTCTAATCAGAAATCAACTCCATTAGTAAAGAAGAGAAATCATAGCAAACCTCCTCAAAGTTTGGTAAGCTGGCAAGCAAATCTGAATACTCCGCCTTCATATCATAATCAATCTCAGTTCTCATAAGCTGATATCAGAGATGAACTGATACCTAAGTTGCCAATTATTATTAACAGCGGCAATACGATATTACATGAGAAGAACAAGAAGAGATATTGACCTATTTATCATTTATGAACCAAGCTAAGTTTATTATTTTATTTCATAATTTAGACCAATTTGTATTAGAGGGGTTTTGGGGTTTTGGGG